ATCAGTTCCTCACAGTTGCTCACAGTTCCACACTCAGTTCCTCACAGTTTCACCAGTTCCTCACAGTTCCACACTTAGTCCCACAGTTTCTCACAGTTCCCACACCAGTTCCTCCCAGTTCCACCAGTTCCTCATGTCCAGTTCCCTCACAGTTCCTCACAGTTCCACACTCAGTTCCACACGTCCACACGTTCCTCACAGTGCCACAGTTCCACACTCAGTTCCTCACAGTTCCACACTCAGTTCCTCACAGTTCCTCACAGTTCCACACTAAGTTCCACACAGTCCCACAGTCAGTTCCTCACAGTTCCTCACAGTTCCACACTCAGTTCCACACAGTTCCACACAGTTCCTCACAGTTCCACACTCAGTTCCTCACAGTTCCTCCCAGTTCCACACTAAGTTCCACACAGTCCCAGTCAGTTCCTCACAGTTCCACACTAAGTTCCACACTCAGTTCCACACTCAGTTCCTCACAGTTCCACTCAGTTCCTCACAGTTCCACACTTAGTCCCTCACAGTTTCTCACAGTTCCACACAGTTCCACACTCAGTTCCTCACAGTTCCACACCATTCCACACTCAGTTCCTCACAGTTCCACACCGTTCCACACTCAGTTCCTCACAGTTCCATACTCAGTTCCTCACAGTTCCTCACAGTTCCACACCAGTTCCTCACAATTCCACAGTCAGTTCCTCACAGTTCCACACTCAGTTCCTCACAGTTCCTCACAGTTCCACACTCAGTTCCTCACAGTTCCTCACAGTTCTACACTCAGTTCCTCACAGTTCCACACTCAGTTCCTCTCAGTTCCACACTCAGTCCCTCACAGTTCCACACTCAGTTCTTCACAGTTCCACACAGTTCCACACTCAGTTCCTCACAGTTCCACAATGAGTTCTACACAGTTCCACACTCAGTTCCTCGCAGTTCCACACTCAGTTCTTCAGTTCCACACTTAGTCCCTCATAGTTCCACATAGTTCCACATTCAGTTCCTCACAGTTCCACACTGAGTTCCACACAGTTCCACATTCAGTTCCACACAGTTCCTCATAGTTCCACAGTCAGTTCCTCACAGTTGCTCACAGTTCCACACCCAGTTCCTCGCAGTTGCTCACAGTTCCACCCTCAGTTCCACACTCAGTTACTCACAGTTCCACACTTAGTCTCTCACAGTTTCTCACAGTTCTACACAGTTCCCACCCAGTTCCTCCCACTTCCACACAGTTCCTCACAGTTCCACACAGTTCCACACTCAGTTCCTCACAGTTCTACACAGTTCCACATTCAGTTCCTCACAGTTCCACACAGTTCCACACAGTTCCTCACAGTTCCACACTCAGTTCCTCACAGTTCCACTCAGTTCCTCACAGTTCCACACTTAGTCCCTCACAGTTTCTCACAGTTCCACACAGTTCCACACTCAGTTCCTCACAGTTCCACACAGTTCCACACTCAATTCCTCACAGTTCCACACTCAGTTCCTCACAGTTCCACACAGTTCCACACTCAATTCCTCACAGTTCCTCACAGTTCCACATGGTTCCTCACAGTTCCACACAGTCCCACACAGTTCCTCACAGTTCCACACTCCATTCCTCACAGTTTCATGCAGTTCCTCACAGTTCCTCACAGTTCCACACAGTTCCTCACAGTTCCTCACAGTTTCACGCTTAGTTCCTTACAGTTCCACACAGTTCCTCACAGTTCCTTACAGTTCCCACAAAGTTCCTCACAGTTCCTGCACTTCTCCACACCGGCTCACACACTTCCTCACACGGTTCTGTGGCTCCTCACATGGCCACATGCACTGCCTCCCAGTTCTTCAGTTTCCCACACGGCTCTGCACACAGGCTGCCACATTTCCCCTTAGGCCTCCCCATGCCCCACAGTGCTTCTGTTTTTCACACAGCTCTCCACAGCATTCCACACAGGTCCACACAGCCCCGTTTCACCCACTTTCATAGTTTCGCACAGTTCTGCACACAGTTTCTCAAGTGGGTCCTCTCACAATACCTCAGACGGGGGCTCGCGCGGCTCCTCTCAGGCCCTGGCAAGTTCCTCCGTGTTCCCGCACACTTCCCCCCCGTTTCCTCCACATTTCCACAGATCCCCCAAATCCCTGACGTAGCGTTCACGTGGTTCCCCATGCCTTTCCCAGCAGCCGCCTACCTGGCTCCGCGCAGTTTCTCACAGCTCACCACTGCTCCCCGAGCAGCCACATGGCTCCTCAGCGTTCCCTCACGCAATTTCCACGCGGCCCCACACCACTCCACACACCTCTACTCCCATTTTCACAGGTCCTCAGAGTACACGCATCTCCAGCTCCACGGAGCCCTGACGTGGGTACCCACATGAGCGTACACTTCCCCCAAGCGGTTTCCCCAAACGCTTCCCACCTGGTTCCCCGCCTTCCCTACACGATCACATTCAGCTTCTCACAAATCCTCCCACAGTTCCCCACGCAATTCCTCACACGGTTCCTCACATACTTTCCCACAGAGCTTCTCCCATAGCTCCACAGACAGCTCTGCACGGCTCCCTCACGTGATTCCACATAGCTCCCCACCCTGTGGCACACACTTCCTCTCCCGGTGCCACGCACAGCTCCTCATGTTCCCACGCAGCTCTGCTCAGGCCCCCAGAGTTTCTCAAGTTCCCCCCATGGTTCCTGAGGCATTTCTTCCTCTGGTCCTCACACAGGTTCTTCCGGCTTCTGACATAGTTGGCCACACAGTTCTCTGCAGGCTCCCCACACAGTTCCTATGGTTCCCCACACAGCTCCCCACACAGCTCCCCACACACAGATCCACACACACAGCTACACACACACAGTTCCCCACACATAGCTCCACAAACAGCTCCCCACACAGCTCCCCACACACAGATCCACACACACAGCTCCCCACACAGCTCCCCACACACAACTCCACACACACAGCTCCACACACAGTTCCCCACACACAGCTGCACACACACAACTCCACACACAGTTCCCCACACAGCTCCCCAAACAGTTCTACACACACAGCTCCACACACACAGTTCCACATGCACAGCTCCACACACAGCTCTACACACAGTTCCACATACACAGCTCCACACACAGTTCCTATGGTTCCCCACACAGCTCCCCACACACAGATCCACACACACAGCTACACACACACAGTTCCCCACACACAGCTCCACAAACAGCTCCCCACACAGCTCCCCACACACAGCTCCACACACACAGCTCCACACACAGTTCCCCACACAAAACTCTACACACAGTTCTCCACACAGCCCCCCAAACAGTTCTACACACACAGCTCCACACACAGTTCCACACGCAGTTCTACACACAGTTCCACACACACAGTTCCACACACAGCTCCACACACACAGCTCCCCACACAGTTCCACACACACAGCTCCGCCCACAGTTTCACACGCACAGCTCCCCACACAGCTCCACACACACAGCTCCCCACACAGCTCCTCACACAGCTCCCCACACAGTTCCACACACACAGTTCCGCATACACAGCTCCCCACACAGCTCCCCACACAGCTCCACACACAGCTCCACACACACAGTTCCCCACACACAGCTCCACACACACAGCTCCACACAAACAGCTCCACACACACAGCTCCACACACAGTTCCACACACACAGTTCCCCATACACAGCTCCACAGTTCCACACACACAGCTCCCCACACACACCTCCAGACACACAGTTCCACACACAGCTCTCCACACACAGCTCCACACACACAACTCCACACACACAGCTCCACACACACAGTTCCACACACAGTTCCACACACACAGCTCCACACACACTGTTCCACACACAGTTCCACACACACAGCTCCACACACACTGTTCCACACACAGTTCCACACACAACTCCACAAGCAGTTCCACACAGTTCCTCACAGTCCCACACAATCTGCACAGCGGATCGTTCTCTCCTCCCTCCCCACGCTGCTCCACGCCACTCCACGCCATTCCCTCACAGTTCCACACGGTTATCACAGCTTCTCACAGTTCACTCCACTCCACACGCAATTCCCCACACAGGTTCTCAGTCTCACACAGTCCCACGCAGTGTCTCATGCCGTTTCCCACACGCTTCCTCTCCCGTTCCCCACAGGTTCCTCACGCAGTTCCCCATACGGCCCTCAGTTCCTCACCTGGCTCCCACTCGGGTCCCCCACACCATTCTCCACAGTTCCCCACTCAGTTCCCACACCTTCTCACAGTTCTTCATACAGCCTCACATGTGTTCTTAGTCTCTTGGAACTCCTCACACAGGCCCACACAGCTCTTCACAATTCACACAGTTCTCTGTCCCCAGGGAGCCACTGCCAAGTTCCCAGTGCGTTTCCCAGTGAGCACGTCGCGACTCCTCACAGTGGCGCCCGCTAACCCTGTCTCACACATTCCCACGCTGGCTCACTCCGTTCCTGCCCGGTCCCTCGAACGGTTTCACGGCTGCCCACGCGGTTCCTCACACAGTCCCCAGCCTCGCCCCAGGCAGCTTCACACATGGCACCCTCCGTGGCACCGCCCACTCCACACATGCTCGTCTCCCCGCCCTGGCCCCGTCACACCTATGGCTGCTCGGAGTCTAGCACGCCTGTCACCCTCTTCCTCTCATGGCTCCCCAGCCCCCTCCATGCCCGAGGGGCTCCTCCGCGCCCCTCTCAGCTCATCCCAGGGCCCCCACGCCCCCCAGGCCACCCTTTCCCACCTCAGCGTCTCCCAGCAGTCTCTGTCCCAGGCCCTGCCATGAGGCCACCCCAGACGCCCTGTGTCCACGCAGACAAGGCACCTCATGGGGCCTCCCACACTTGTTTTCTTCCTTCCTGGGATCCACCCCCATGTCGCCCATCTCCCAGCGCACTCACTGCCCACCCCGCCCCTCACCACAGGGCGCCAATGCAGTGCAGACGCCACCACCAGCCTCCAGCCCCCGCCCCAGGGCTGAAGGAAGCCACTTACCTTGTTGGGTCCGGAGTCCTGAAAAGGAAGAGACAGAGAGAGGCTGAGGCCTAGAGCGAGGCTGGCGCAGGCTGTGGGGGCGGAAGAGCAGGTGGCCCAGCTCCCTTGCCCCGGCCGTGACTCAGGCTCTACCGCCCTGTGGTCTCCTTGACAGCAGCTCCCCCGGGGCAGGATCCCCCCAGGGCTGCCCTTCCCTAGCCCAGGCCATTGGTGGTGCTGGGGGACAGGGCTGCCTGCTGCACGGGGCCAACCGTGGCTACAGCCCCAATTTACAGGCGGGGAAACTGAGGGTCCCGGGAGAAACCAGGGCCACTACCCCTTCTCCAGCATGTGACACTCTGGCCATCTCTGGGCTCTCCCTTGAACCCAGCCACCTCCCAGACACATGGCCTGGAAATGGGTGACAGGGGCAGGATAGGGTCCCCGAAGACCCCCGGGGGTCTGGCTGCAGAAGCCGGGCTGGGCCACTCACCATTTCAGCCAGGGCGGAGATGACCTTGCCTAGGGTGGTCAGCGACTTGTTGATGTTGGCGCCCTCCTGTGGGCAGAAAAGACAGTGGGGTTGGGACACCGGGGACCCCTGGGGACTCCTGCTCTGGAGGGACGCCTTGCGTGGACCTGTACGGTGTGGAGTGGAGGCCACCACCGCAGCTGCTGCTCCCTGGGGCCACAGAGACATGGGGTGCCCTGGCAGAAAGCCAGTTGGAGCCTCTGGCCGGGAGCACGTCTCCCAGTGTTGCCCTCAGTGCCATGAAAACCCTGATACCATCCCGTGTCCCCCTGAAGCGCTTCCGGGGCCCCTGCCCAAACATCAGGTGCTGAGGTCAGCGGGGATCGAGGAAACACACTCCTTCCTGACCCTGGCACTGCTTTCCCAGGGGTGCCCCGGCCTCTGGCGCAAAATCCTCGGGGCCCGAAACAGACCACCGTCCCGCCAAGCCCCTGACCTGTGTGCCCAGCGCTGGTGCCCCAGGCACAACCCTCAGTTGCTGGCAGCCCAAGACCCCAGCCTATGCCCACCCTCCCTGAGCGGGCTCATCCTCAGGGTGGCCCAGGCCCCCGGGACCCCAACAGAGCCCTCCTGCCGCCCACCCTGTAGCAGGCCAGGTGTGGACACGGGACCCACTGCAGTCCCTGCATGGCGGCATGGTCCCTACCTTGAGGCGTGTGCCCTTGGCTCCCGTGGAGTCGGCCCGCTCGCTCCCAGCCAGGTCCACCAGGCTGATTTTGCTCACCTGAAACAGCAGACGCGTCACATGCACGAGAGGCCGCAAGATGCACGGGGGCGTCCCAGGACCCCTGGGCAAGATCTCCATGGCTGCTGAAGGAGCCCCAGCCAAGCGTCCCCTCCACAAGGCGCCACCCCTCCCCAGGCCCAGCAGTCCTGACCCCACAGTTTCCACCTGCACCTCCGTCCCAGCTCTCTCCACGCCCTGCCCGAATGAGTGCACAGCCACCTCCCCAGGGGAGCATGGGCGCTGCCACCACACGCCAGGCGCTTTTCACACAAGGGCGCACTCTCTCCCCACGGCACGCATGAGGTGCGACTGTCACTGTCCTCACTTCCACAGATGGTGCTCAGTGTCCGTGGTGGGATTGGAACCCAGCTCCAGGAGGCCCTGGCCCTGCTCAGCCACCTCACGGGCCATGGCTGCACCTAGCGAAGTGGGCACCAGCCAGGCTCCCGACAGGGGCACCTGCAGCCTGGGGTGGGAGGCCCTGCACCGAGAGGCCCGGCCCCTCCTGAGCCACAGCTGCAGGGCAGGACTTGCCCACAGATACCGCAGGACCCCCTCAGTGCCCACCAGCGAGGGCAGCAGGGCAGGCAGTTGGGCCGACCTCATCCAGCTTCACCCCCGTCTGTCCCCCAACCCACCTCAGCCATCCTGAGACCCCGCTCACTGTTTGATGGAGTCCCGGTCAGGAGGATGTGCCTGGCAGACCTCCAGCACCATCTGGGACTGAGCAGTCCTCCCTCCACTCAGCACCTTTGTGCTCCCCACGCGGCTGCCTGAACGAGCCCCCAACCGGGAGATGGCTGAGGTGCCCCCGGGCCTAGATGGCTGGGGCACGAGGGCAGGGGGCAGAGTCAGAGATGGTCAGGGAGAGGCTGGGTGCCCTCCCACTGCCCCTCCTAGAAGCCTGGACTGGCTGTCCAGGCAAAAGCCCCAGAAGACGGACCCCTGGCCTGGTCCATGGAGAACACCAAGGCACGGGAGAAGGGCCTCTGGGGCAGGGTGGGGGACGTCCGCACCTGGTGCCAGTGTAAGTGTGAGGACACTGCCCGCCCCGCACAGGCCAGCATTGGGCCCAATGTCCTTGTGCTGCCCCCACTGGCCTGACCTCCACCCCCACCCCGACCACCAGCCACTGCCCTCGGTGGCACTGCCTGTGAGGCCATTCACTCACCTTCTCTGTGGTGATGTTGGTCTCTGCATCATGGCGCTTCTGGGTGAAAATGATGTTGAAGACAGCGTGGGAGCGGCTGCTGGTCTCATTCATGTTGGTGGCCGCCACGGTCCTGAGGAGCAGAAAGCCACACACGGTTACCCCTCGTCCTGTGGCCGGGTGCAAGTTCACCGGTGGTGCCAGCCCTCCAAACCAGGTCATCGGGGGGCAGCTCCCCCAGACCCCAGGAGCCACTCTGCCGGTCCTGGCACTGATGGTCCCACCTGCCAGGACTCCAGCAAGGCCCACGGCCACCTGCCCACAGTGGCATCCTCAGCCCCAGCCCTTGCCTAGTGTATTCAGGGCAGCAGTAGCTGGGGAAGCATCCCACTCCTGGGCACAGAGAAGCCCATGCAGTGCCCAGCTGGGCAGGAGCCCTCCATGGCCATGATATGGGAGGGGAAGGGGCTGTCCACTGTCCACCCCACCATGGCCCACACCCGTGGCTCTGGGAAGCCAAGGAGCCTGCCACACCCCACAGGAGATGTCATGGTCAGCAGGGCGGTCCTCCAGAACGGGAAGCCCAAGGCTGCTGAGGGTGGCCTGGAGTTGGTCCCGATGCCACCCTGACCTGCCAGGGACCTCAGGAAAGGCTCCCAAGACTCAGCAGATGGCATGTGGCAACCCAGGGCCCGCTCCAGCAAGGAGTCACAGTGACGGCCACGGTGCGCTGTGGACCTCATCAGGAACAGCACCCTCACCCACTGGCCCTTGTGGGGCCACCGAAGGGGTGCAGGATGGCGCAGAGTGTGACTCACAACCTCAGGAACTGAGAGTGACAGGGACCATCACCTCACCCTCAGGAAGTCCTGGGTGGCGGAGGGGGTCTGTTGCCATGACAACCAGGGCATCTCAGGCAGGAGGCCCAGGGCAGCAGAGGCCAAGGAGCCGGGTTGTTTATTGCTGTAGCACTGTGCAGCCAACCACCCCCCACATGCCCCGACCCCAGCACGCTGGCCCCCACACAGAATCTGGACCCCTGGGACTGGCAGAACAGCTGCCCCACCAAGACAGCAGCCAGAGATGCTGCTAGCAGCCCCTGGGTGCCTCAGCTGGAGGACGCAGACCCCCGTGAAGGAGAAGCCCCATGAAGGTGACGGTGTCCCCTGCACAGGGGGAGCCCTCGGCCTCTCTCGGGCTGGCACAGGCCTGAACGACCTCAGGCTCAGGAGGCCACACCTCCACAGGGCACAGATGGACCCTACAGAAAAGGGCCAGGACCGAGGCAAAGGGGCTTCCTCCGGGGAGAGGCGGCGGGACAGGAGGGCAGGGAGGATCGGTGAGTCCCCCCACATACCTGGCCTTGTTCCCTGAGTCCATGAGGTCCTGGATGTCATTGTAGGAGGTGACAGCCAGCTTGGAGAGGTCCTCAACATAGGGCCCCAGCAGTGGGTGCTCCCTCACGCGAAGGTTGCCCTTGTTCTTGGGGTTCAGGAGGTCACGGACACGCTCACAGTAAATCTCCATGTAGCTGACCTGCAGGGCAGAGCCGGGCCGTCAGGACCCCTAAGACCAGGGAGTGCGGCTGCCACTGGGGGGACCCCTGAGTGAGGGGGTGGGGGCTACCATCAGGACCCCTGAGTGACAGGGCGGGGGCTGCCACTGGGGGGACCCCTGAGTGAGAAGGGGGGCTGCCTGCTGGGCCCGAGTGACGGGGATGGGGGCTGCCGTCAGGACCCCTGAGTGAGAAGGTGGGGGCCACCATCAGGACCCCTAAGTGATGGGGTAGGGGCCAACATCAGGACCCCTGAGTGAGGGAGTAGGGGCCAACATCAGGACCCCTGAGTGAGGGGGTGGGGGCCACCATCAGGACCCCTGAGTGAGGGGGTGGGGGCCGCCATCAGGACCCGGGAGTGAGAAGGTGGGCGCCACCTGCTGGGCAGCGGACTCCCAGTCTGCAGCTCCTGTGTGTATGTGCGAGGCAGGGGTGTCAATCCGGCCTCCCTCACCACGGCCATCCTGGGCTCTAGGACACACGCATGCCAGGGCCACCCCGCCACAGCAGGCATGGCCAGGCCCTGAGCTCTGAGGTGCCTGTCCCTGCCCCAGCACAGAGCAGCTGCTGGAGAAGCACCTGCTAGGTGGGGATCACCTCGTCGCTCTGTGCTTTGGGGGTCTCGAGCCCTGCCCAGGCCCGTCGTCTTGCCTGCCACTTGAATGAGCGAGGGACAAGCTGGGTGCACAGACCCGTGGTGGGCACTCACTTTGCATCAGAAAAGCACTGCCAGCCACACCGGATTCCCAGCCCTGCCCCAGGGGCCGACAGCAGGCGGGGGGACCCTACCTCCACCGAGTAGGACATGTTGTCATTGGTCGTATCGTTGATCCGAGAGAAGAGGTCCTCGCAGAGCTGCAGGAATGGGGGGACAGTCAGCCAGGGACGGCTGGGGCTGCTCCCTGGATCCCCGTCCCTTGCGATGCTGTGGGCAGCCTGTGCCAGGCGGGATGCCACCCTCTCAGGCCCCTCTTGCACCCTCACCACACACATCATGGTAAAGGCACTGAGAAAGTCTGTAGCCGAGGAGCCAGTGTCTCCCTCTTAACTCAGGGGTCCCTGGCTGGTATCTGATCCTTTCCTGTGTGTCGTCTACCCCTCCCCCTGGCTCTGCCATCCTACAGACATCTCAGCCACGTCCCTTCCCTCAGCAGGCAAAGTACTAGTGACCAACTCAGGTCCAGAGACCTGCCCAGGGGAATGGCTGGGGACTCGGTTCCTGCAGCAAATGAGGAACTGCTGTGTCTGGTGTTTGGTCACCTCTGTCCTGAGCACCTCTCTCTGCCCACACTGCCAGCCCTCACACCCTCAGAGATCAGCTGCCCCAGCCAGGGCTCTCCCAGCTGCTGTCTTAGGCACATGATCAAGGTGGACCCTGTCCAAGGCCAGGGCGCTTCCCGCACCTAGGGCCTGGGTCTGCAGCTTCACAGCCACATCTGGCTCTCACCTGCCCCAATCCCACCGTTGACCCAGCTGGCCTTCCCCTCCTGACTCCCTGCTCTCTGGGGGCTGCTCTCAGGGGCGCCTGGCCTGGAGTTCTCAGCCTCAGCTTGTCCCGCCCCATCCACCGGGGCTGCCCCCGCCTGCCCCCCGCCTCGTGCCTGCGGGATGATGCCCTGCTGGTCTTTCTCCTGCTTGCCCATCATGGTGTAGGACTTGCCGGCACCCGTCTGCCCGTAGGCGAAGATGCACACGTTGTACCCCTCAAAGGCGTGCTGCAGCATCTCCTCGCCAATGTCCCGGTACACCTGCTTCTGCGATGCATAGTTGATGTCCTCGGGCTGGAGGACAAGGAAGGAATGAAGCTGCAGGAGGCTGGGTGCACCCGAGGCTCAGCCCTTCATGTCCGTGGAGCCAGGGGGTGCCCAGGGCCTCAGGGTGCCAGGGCAGCACAGCGGGGAGGGATGCCTAAGCCCCATCCTACTCCTGCCTTGTGGGGTAGCTTCTTGGAGGAGGAGCCTTCTGTGTCCCAGATGAGGGATGAAGAGCGGCCGGCCAGGCAGGAGGCAGGATGGGTTCCAGCAGAGGGAACAGCATGTGAAAGGCCCAAAGGTGGGACCTCAAAATCAAAGTAAGTTCCATGTGACTGTGACAAGCAGGGGTGACAAGAGCTGGGAATGGGGACAGGGTGCGAAGACCCAGAGACCCCACAGGCTGGGCTACGGCACCTGGACACTGTCCTGAGGGCAGCGGGGCACTTTAGGCAGGGGACAGGGTGGTTGGCTGGGGGTCATCCTGGAAGGAGGACGGACTGGATGGGGAAGGCAGAAGCAGGGAACCCTGGGGCTGTTATGGGGGGCAGGTGCTGAGATATAGACATGAGGGGCTTAGATGAGGAGGCTGCACGTCTTCTAGAAGGGTCCAGGAGCTGGCAGGTGGAGGACGGGGCTCAGTGTGGACTGGATGGGGGAGGAGGGAAGGAGAAGAGTCCAGGGGTCTCCTGGGCTCCCAGAGTGAGGGCACAGCTTCCAGGCAGGCTCAGGGTCAGCTTTGGGCACCAGCAGGTGGACGGACACAGTTCTGACCCTAGAAACTACCCACAGGGAGCTGAAGCCCCTCAGTCCCTGTAGCTTCCATCACTGCCTTCGCTGGGGGCCCTGCATGGGCCGGCCGCTCAGGGTGACCTTGCAGGGGAGCACGGTGGGGTCCTCACCCCAGTTAGAGAGGAATGAGCGGCTCAGAGAGGTTGAGGGACCCTGAGGGCCACATGGCCTGCACACTGCTGCCCGCCTCCCCTGACCCAGGGTCCCGGCTTACCGAGGTGTGCGACCAGTAGGAGTAGTCAAAGCTGAAGCTTTTGGGCGTCTCCTTGGGCTGTTTGGGATTAACGATGGCTGCGGGAGGGAACATAGGTGGTCAGCGTGGTGCTGAGAGGGACCCTGACTAGCTGGCATCTACAGTCCAAGGTTGGGAGGTCGTCCTGAGAGGCCTTGGGCCCCAGACAAGCCAGGTCCCCAAATTGGAGGGGACCTAGGACCCCACTCCCAGGCAGACGACCTGTCTCTGCCCCCTCTTTATGGTGGGCCCAGCCATATACAAATGCAGGGCACCTGAGGGCACCACCATATCAGCCTGCAAGGCTCTGCGTCCTTCTCCCGCAAAGTCCAACTGGCTCCCCTCAAAGGCAGCCACCCAGGGAGGATCCTTCCCACCTGCAAGCCACAGCCCCTCCATCTCTGGAGTCCACCCTGGGCTCACAGCCCTGCCCTGCCCCCTGCCCAGGCCTTTCCGCTCGGGCTCAGCATGCACGTGCCTGAGAAGCGCTGGAAGCCTGGACGTCCATCACGTTTGTGTCATGCCCGTGTGGTTCTTCTAGGCTTGCTACTCTGAACAGAGCTCTATGGGACTGTCTTCTGCCAGAGGCCCTCCTCCCCCTCCCTCCTCTACCCAACTTCAAGCCCAGTCCCAGGCACCCTGGGCTGGCTTCAGGCAGTGCTCGCAGAATGTCTGTTCATCAAACCCAGAACAAATCCATGAACACGTGATGATGTCGCTGCCCACAGCCGGCGCCTGGGGGGATTTCCCAGGAGCAGTCCCAGTGTGAGTATCCTCCCAGGAGCTCCTCCCACCCACACAGCCTGCAGGTGTCTCAGGGATGCAGCACGCCCACCGCCACCTTCCATCCTTGCTCCCAGCGTTTCCCTGGCCCTGGACAGGTCTGGACCCTGCAGGCTGTGGGTCCTCAGTGGCCAGAAGGACAGGACCCGCTGCCCCCTGGAACACTGTCTGAGCCCAGAATCAGTGTTGACAGGGGCCTGGAGGCCTGAGGCAGTCCCCTCCCAGGTTCTCACCCCCAGGAGGAACACTGGCCAATCTTGGTCAGGGAGCCCCTGGAGACCATCACCCTCACATCAGCAAACCCGCAGAATGAAGCCCTCACGGCACCATCCCGTGCTTGCAGATGAAGGCTGGAGATGAGGCTCTGTCTGCCCCGGATTGGTTTTTCTCAGCCAACGTGGGCTGGGGGCCAGCGGCACAGCCTCCAGGATGCCCGCACCCTCCGCGCCAGCATGCACCCTGGGGACCTGCCACCAGGACCACGGAGAACAAAATACTCCAGTTATGAGCTAAACTGCGTCCCCCTCCCCCAATTTCATATTTTAAGTCTTTAGCCCTAGTATCTCAGAATAGGATCACATTTGGAGATAAAGCTGCTGCAGATGTAATTAGTTAAGATGAGGTCCTACTCCGTGAAGATGGGCCCTAATCTAGTGCTGCCATGTCCTTATAAAAGAGGAGATTTGGAGACAGATGTGCACAGGGAGGGTGCCATGAGAGCACGAGGACAGAAATCAGGGTGATGACAAGCTAGGAATGCCAGAAGCAGCTGGCAAGCCCCAGAAGCTGGAGGGCTTGGACAAGTGCCCCTCATGGCTCAGGAACAGCCACCCCTGCCACCACCTTGATCTCAGACCAGACTTCTGGCCTCCAGAATCACAAGATAGTACACTTCTGTTTGTGGTGCTTCCTTATGGCAGCTCGGGGCCCTGAGACCCCCTCTGCCTGTCCACACTCTACTGCTGCCCCAGGCTCGGTGGTCTTGCGGGCAGGCACCTGGGCTGTGTTCTCTGGCCAAGCGTCCTGCTGACAGCACAGACATCATTGGCAGCCCTGTCCCCAGGGCAGATCCAACTTCAGGTCCCAACCGGACCCCCATCCCTGGCCTGAGGATTTCCAGGAAACACCCAGGCACCCTGGGCAGCCAGCAGGAGGGAGCCGGGCACTGACCATCACAGCCCTATCCTCGGAGGTAAGAGAGGCCACGTCCGTGCTGTCCAGGAGCAGAGGCAGAGAGGAGGCCGAGCTGCCCTGACTTCAACACCTTACAGGACCCAGGCAATGGCCAGGACCCAGGCAACGGCACCCATGGTGCCACCTCCGGAACCCCAGCACGGATCAACCAGCCCTGTGGAAACAATTGCAGCGCCTTCCTGAGTGCAGCCCGGCTGGGCCTCCCCAGCTCTGACAGAGAGGCCTGGGACCCCTTGCTCAAGCCAGCAACAACCACCCCGTCCACCTCATCCCCCTCACCCTGCTGCACTTGGGCCCGGCTCCCCTCACAGGCCTGGCCCCCATCCCCACACCCCTTCCTGCCCCATCCACCCCCTCGCCTCACCCCCCTGCACCCAGGTCGGGCTCCCTGCACAGGCTGGGACCCCATCCCCACACCCCCACTAGCTCTTGCTCCTTGTCCAGCCCTGGAGGCCAACCTTGCTCAGATGAAGCCCTGGTGCCACACCCCACATGGGCCATGAGCTCTATGAGGTGGGGGTCCCCAGGACAGGGCACAGGTGGTACCCAAGGAATGCCAGGTAGGTGGGGGACAGAGGGCAGCATGGGTGAGTGGGCAGGAGTGGGGCCCAGTCACAGCTGCAAATGGCCTGGGCCCCAATCCCTCCCAGGTCTGTGTTGTGACCGGGACCCCCACCCCACCCTGGCCCTGTCTCCACCCCCATCCCAGGCCCTGTATTGTGGCTGGGACCCCCACCCTACCCTGTCCCCAACCCCACCCCCAGGCCATGTATTGTGTCCGGGACTCCCACCCCACTCTTGCCCTGACCCATCCCCTCCCACGCTGTGTTGTGGCTGGGACCCCCACCCCACCCTGGCCCTGCCCCTACCCCTACCCCCGCCAGGCCATGTATTGTGTCCAGGACCCCCACCCCATCCTGGCCCTGACCCATCCCCTCCCATGCCTGTGTTGTGGCTGGGACCCCACCCCACCTTGGCCCTGCCACCCTTCCCACACCCTGCGTTGTGGCTGGGACCCCACCCCCCCTGGCCCTGCCACCCTCCCCACACCCCGTGCTGTGACTAGGAACCATCCTCTGTCACTACAGATGGGCCCCAAGCTCCAGAAAGGGGAGGTCCTCTCCCCAGGTCACACGACACACAGCCAGACTGGAAGGTAGGGTCCCCGCAACACTTCCCAGCCCTGAGGTCCGCCAGGCCTGTGGAGACAGGCAGCCCCTCTTTCAGTAGCCGGCTTCTCACAGAGACCTCCCCAGTTCTGCTGGAGAAAGAGCTTTTTTTTTTTTTTTTTTTGCCAGGGTCTGGAATTTTTTCCTTGTGCAGGTTTGAGGAAGGAGGAGGGAGAAACAGGTCCTCCTGGGGCCTGCTGGGCTGGGCTCCTCAACCAGCCCCTTTAGGGCCCCCATCTCCTCCCGCCCCGGGCTCTGGCCAGGCCCCCAGAGCTGGGCCCCTCCGAGGCCGGCGAGGTGCCCAGTATCAGGCAGCCTTCCCAGGGCTCTGCATGGGCCTGCAAAGGGCTGGACGCTGAGACAACAGAGACAGGGGGAGGGGTAGAGGGAGGAGTGGGGGGAGCTGGAGGAAGCGGGACAGGAAAGGAATGGAACACAGCCCTTTTCTCAGAGTCTCAGCGTCCCTGCGGCCTTGAGCACCAGGTGTGAGGGTTGAGCTGAGCTGGCTCTCCCTGATGGAGCCTGCTGTGGGCCGAGCGTGTCCCCAGATTCATATGCAATGCCCTGACCCCCAACCAGATGGCATTTGGAGATGGGGCCTTGTTTGGTGGTGAGGGTGAGACGAAGCCACAAAGTCGGGAACCTCATGGTGGGATGAGTGACTTTAAAGAAGGGGAAGGGACCCGAGCTCCCTGGGCCAGGCAAGGACACAGCAGGAAGGCAGCGTCTGCAGGCTGGGAAGACAGCCCTCTCACAATCCAGATCTGCGGCGCCTTGATTGGACTTCCGCCTCCAGACTGCCGAGAAGGGAGCATCTGCTGTTTAAGACGCCCACTCTGCAGCGTGCCTGGACCTCGGAGTCTGGCCTCCACAACAGGGGAGACATTTCTGTCGTTTGAAACCACTCAGTACGTAACCCTTTGTAACAGCAGCCCCAGGGACCATATGGTGCCACTGCTGCCCGTGTGGAGGGGCTTGTCCAGCTCCCCGACTGCTCAGGATTAGGGGAGCCCACAGTGGAAGCCAGGGACCTGGGGTCACGCCCACCCTGGGTCCAAGTCCCCACCTGTGGGCGAGGGCAGGGATGAGAGGCCACCCCAACCCTGGGCCTCCTCTGCATGGCCAGAAGAGTATAGAAATGATTGGGGATCTCAGGGAGTACCCAGCACCATCCCTCACTACTGCACAGGCGGGGAAACGGAGGCCCAAAGGTATGCCATCTAGCCAGTGTCACACAGTGAGTAAGTCATGAATGCAGCCAGGCCCCTCACTCCAGGAACTCACTTCAGGGGCCGCACATGGCTGAGGGTCCGCATCCCCAGCCAGCCTCCAGCATCTGCAGAATGGCTGGGCAGGCTCAGGGCCCTCATGTCCTCCGGTCCTCAGCACAGAGAATGTGACGTGAGGAGACAGGAGGAGGACACGCTCAACTTCTGACCCCAGGCCAACCCACACCAGCTCAGCCAGGCCGGACCAACGTGCACCTAACGGACAGCTAGGCCAGCACACAAAACTGCTAGGTTTGGTGTGTTCAAATGAAGAGGATTATTTATACAGGTGATGATTACAGGATGACAGTTAAATTTACTTTCAAATGCTTCTAATTTCTGCATCACAGCGGAGCTACAAGGCACGCTTTAGAGAGTGGGGCCTCTCCTCATGTTTTGAGATTCCAGGAACAGTCAGCAGCTACACCAGGCAGGCAGGGCAGGCTGTCCAGGTCACCTCCCCATGACATTCTCTGAGGGGCCTGGCACAACCCCCACCATCTTCCAAGGGGCCTGGCACACCAGCCAGGGCAGCCACTCCTGGTTCTATCGAGCTGAGCAGCAGCTGAGAAGTCACCAGGACAGTGGCTCCTGTGGGTGCTTCTGGCAGGTGGGCACCACCCGCACCCTCTCATGCCCTGTCTGCAGGTGTCCTCCTGGGCTTGTTCTGGGGCAGGTCAACCCTCTGGAACACCCTGGTCCCTCAGCCACCAGGAGAAAAGCCCATGACCACCTTCCTCCGGCTTCCCTGCGTCAGGGCCAGTCCTTCTCTCCTGAGCTCCCTCAGCCCGTCACCCAGATTTCTGACATAGCTTCCAGCACTTTCTTCCAAAACCACCACTGGTTTGCTTTCTCCAAAATGAAAAAAGCTTTGCTAGAGATTTTTCCTGATTATTCATTCTTCTGCCACTCTTTTCTCTCACCCCACCTCGCTGTCTCCCACGCACACGCACATCCGGTGCACACAGGACCTGCAGCGAGTGCCCATCTGCCCTTTACCTACATACAGTCTCACTCTTGGGCTCTGTGCTGACCTTTGCCCCCTTCCCCACAACATTGTGTGGTATTTTCCCAAGGCTGTAAGCACAAAGCTTTCAGGAGCACTCGAGTCCACTGCTGGGACAGACTTAACATCCCTTCAGCAGCTCCCAGCTGGCGGGCATTTGGGCAGTTGTCCCGGGCTTGGTAAAACAGCACCAGGGTGAACGTCTCAAATGCACACCTTTGAACACTTGCTGGATAATCTTCGTTGCATTTCACGCAAGCAGCCTGGTGAGGTCGGCATCACACGTCTGATATACATCACCAGGCCGCGCCCCCCGCCAGTGGCCTGGGTGCCTGTCCCTGCCACACTCACAACCTGCCTTTTACACGTGGGCCGACCTGGGGCCCTGGCTGTCCTGGTGCGTCGCTGGCTACAGTGGGCAGGACACTGATCTCATGTGTTGTCTTGGCTCTGTGGCTCTTCATTTTCCCGAGGATGAAGGTGACGACGTCTGAAACATTCCAGGTGTCCTGGAGGAAACACCCTGGCGGGCTCTCCACCCCATTCTGGGTCCACGGCCCGTCCCTCCTCCCTGGTTTCAGAACTTTGCTGCAACTCCGCAGACGTTTGATTGAGTTTGGTGATCCCCGGAAGATCAGCACCTCGGAAGAGGTTGGTGTCTTGCATGTGTTCACCTTTGAGAAGGGGCGTTTCCTTCAGGACCTAGCAGTTGCCCAAAAAAAAGTGTAGGGGCTCCTGCGTTCCCCTCCTGACCTCCCTGGCCTGCCTGGACTTCTGCTCGGAGCAGAGGCTGCTGGCACACAGGCGAAATCCCAGAACTCCAATGTCTTCAGGGCAGGACAGGATCCAAGCATCTGAAGCAGGGCGTCTCGCTTCAGGTTTCAACCTCGCTGGCCTCACTGGCCAAAGGAAACATGGCTGCCCACAGACACAGCTCTGGCCTCTGGCTCCTAAGCCCTGGGGAAAAGCTTTGGTTCAGCCTTTGTTCTCCGGGCCAGAGGACAGGGTGGCATGAAGCAGGTAAAAACCACTGGGGCATGAGGTCTCAGGTCCAAGCCTGTACTGCTGTCTCTGAACCGGCAGCTCTGTGGGGTCTGGGCCAGCGCAGCCTCAGCCAGACAACCTTTCACCAGGTGGGCAGCGCTGCCAGTGTCGAGGTCTTGGCAATGCTGGCTCACCTCCAGGCTGCACCCTCCCATTTCTGGATCCTATGAGGGGAAATGCAAAATGGGGCAGCCGCCCACCCAGTGCACCTGGAGGCCGGGCCAGGGAGCAGGTCAGAGGCTGCAAGGGGGCCCCTCGCCCACCCTGGCCATCACTTCTGTGACACCCATCCCAACCCGCCCAACTGCCTAACCCTGTCATTTAGGGTCTGGCCTGAGGCTGGGCCATTCCCAAGGTTCAGGGGCAGGAGGATCCCATCTCTGAGACTTTGTTTTTCCATCCACTCTGCTTCCGGTGATCTTCAGCTGCTCGACGGGTCTGATTCTTGTCACTGCGCCAACCATGGAGCTCCCCATGATCCACACGCAAGACTAAGGTGGCAACTGTGCTGCTGTCACCCAGTGGAGGATGGAAGGGGATTCACAGGGCCCTTCCTGATGTCCTGGGTCACCTTACAATGACACACAGAGCCCGTTGGGGCGTGGCACAGGCGCCCTCTGCCCACCCAGGGCCACAGTGCTCACCAGAGGTCATGGTTCCCACCTGGAGTCAAAGTTCACACCCAGAGCCGTGGTTCACACCTGAGGTTACATTTCGCACCCAGAGTCACAGCTCTGCACAGCCCGAGGCTTCCCACTTAAAGACAAGGGTCCTGCCACCTGAGCAATTTCTCCGATCACAAAAGGCCAGGGCTGCAGTCGGCTAACGCAGCGAGCATTGTTGGAGAAGCACTCACCTTCCTGGGCAGGACAACCCGGAGGTGCATTGTGTTCGTTCGAGGGCCCCAGCAAGGCCAGGCCCCCGGCCACGGAGGTCACCCACTTACAAACGCACCTCTGTCAGCTCCCCGCAAATTCCCCACTCTCCCACCATGCGTCCTGGGACCACCTCCCAAATAAACTCTTGGCGCTCAAATCCTCATCTCTGGGTTTGCTTCCAGGGACCAAGCAGACAAAACAATTCACCATAACGAACAGTCAGGATGCAACCCCGAAGTGCACTGGGGTCCCACAGCCGCAGCAGCCCCCATAGCCTGGAGTTTAGCAGGGTCTCCCCAGCCTGCCCACTGCACCATGATTAGCCACAGAGCTCCAAAGGCTTCTGGAAGGATCACCCCTAGGCCAGACAGAGGGTCCGAGCAGAGCCCTCACTTCCACAGGACCTGACAGAGCCCGGAACACTCCCAGTGACACCTGAATCTCCAGTCCCTGAGCAGGCCTCGGAGACCAAACCTAGGGAGGAAGCTTCCTTGGGACCTGAGTGTCCTCCCCTTGGGGCACCCCCCTCCCCACCTGGTAGATAATAGATGACGGCATGTTGGATGGGTGCACGGCACCTGTGAATGGGGAGGCTGTCATTGTCCACATCCCAAAGACCAGGTGGCTGTTCATGTCACCACTCAGCACAGCTGACACTACTTGATCCTGTGACAGCAGCAGCAATTGCAACTGCACCAGAGGCCCCAGCACAAACTGCCCCGCTGAGCCCAGCCAGCCACAGAACGGAGAGATGACAATTGGTTCTTGCTCCAAGATGCTGATATGGTTTGGATATGTGGGGAAACAAATGGGTGTCCTTATAAGAAAGCCAAACCCAGTGACGGGTGTCCTTATAAAAAAAGCCACATGACAGCAGAGACACAGACACACAGAGGAGAAGGCCACGTGACGACAAAAGCAGAGACTAGAGCGACGCTGCTGCAGGCCAAGGTGGCTGGCAACCACCAGATCCCAGAGAAGGCAGGAACGGTCCTCCCTAGGAACTCAGAGAGAGTGAGGCCCTGCTGGCACCTTGACTTTGGACTTCCAGCCTTCATAGCTGTGAGCGTAAATCTCTACTCTTATAAACCCACTACCATTGGTGGCGGTTTGTCACAGCAGCCCCAGGACACCTACACACCACATAGACAAGAAGATGGACACTGCTCTTGGGGCCAGGTTGACCACGGAGCCTGGCCCGTAGGCACAGGACCACGGCCCCCAGCAACCCGTGGTCGACCTCGATGCCGTGCAGGCCGATACTCACTGGTGGTGCTTCCAGACATCTGAATGATGCACTTGGAGTCGCGGCTCATTTCCCGGGAATTGAAGGGGCGGACCCGCACCGCCACCTTCACCGAAGCCCCGGCCATCGCTGTGGCCTTCGTGGGTCACTCTTTGCAGTAGTGGGAGTCCCAGTGTGCAGGGAAACACCTTGGAAAAAAGGGAAACATGAATTAGAAACAATATCCGAAGAGGCAGGACAGGCACTCTGGCTGCAGCTGAAGCCGCAGGTCTTCTCCACTCCACTCCAAAGCCCCCACGTGACACATGCATGGGGTGGAATCCACAAGGAGAGGGGGCAACACAGATTAATTCTAGAAAGCAGGAGCCCAGCGGGACCAGTGGAAGCCGGCTTCACGAGCCTGGGGAAGCTGGAACCCAACGAAAGAAACAGAGCGACCTGGGTGTGAACGTGAAGGTGGCCTTCACACCCATGGCAAATTCCCTAAGAAGGGTCTTCCCCTGCAGACGCAGGCCCTGGTGGGTCCATGACAGGTCCGCGCAGGCCCCAAGAGCCAGTGCTGGCTCCAGATCAGCAATGTCAAGGATGCTTTAAAATGGAACAGTGTTCCAGAATGCCCCATCACGCCCTCCGCACCAAGCACCAGCTGATAGCCACGTCAGCAGTAGCATGGTCTCTGGATTAGCAAGAAAGAGAACCTTACTCAGAAATGAACAGGACAGACAGCCTCAAGCAATGGAACAAAAACCAACATTTTCAGCCCAATTTCCTGCTGGTAATTCATGCAGAAGGAGGCGAGGAACACTCCTGAGCCCCACTGAGGAGGAGCAGCCCGTGAGACATGGGAAATTCAGTACAAGCCAGGGCTGGGGGACCAGCCTCGGCCTTGCCTTTACCCCGGCGGTGTGACTCAGCTTCCTGGGCCTCAGTTTACCGTCTGTGAAATGACAGGGTGGTGGTCAGGAACTCCAAAATGATTTGGCCTCTCGGGCGCTGGGACTCTGAGGAAGGCTCATGAAAACTCCCCACAAAACAGGGACGAAGCAGCCACTGCAAAAGGTCTTTCCAGGCTGACCAGTCAGACGCTGCTGCTGCCCCCATGGGGCTTGGGGCCTGAAGGATGGGGCTCCTGGGCACAGGGACAGGGACAGGCTCGGGACAGAGCTATTGGTTACAGGAACGGCCAGAGCTCCATGAAACAGAATTAATGCAACCTGACACGAGAGGTTTTTGCCAATTGGTATCTAAACGCTCAAGGGTGCCCGCTCAGTGGTGAGTCCCACATCACCAGAAGCATCCAAGTAGAGCAAAGGCTAGGTGGCCTCCTTGAAACCCTTCCACACTGACATTCCGTGAAAAGGCGACCTTCTGCCTGGTCGTCCCCATCCATAAGTGCCACCCTTGGGAGAATCGGGCCAAAAGCCCCCGTCTTACACTGCCCCAGCCTCATAGCTGTGAAGAAGGGACAAGCCCCTCTGGGCTGCCCCTGAAAGCTCCAGGATCAAGAGCAGGAGGGCTCTGTCTGCAGAAGGAAAGGGGGCACAGTGAGCCTGGGACCAAGGCAGATGCTGAACTCCTAGATTCCACCCAGGCCACTCCCCAGGATCCCCAGAACTCCTCTGCAGAACAGGCTGGATGTGGGGCAGGGCTGTCCCTCAGGCAAACAGCTCTTCCAGAGGCTACAGGGGAGGAGGAAGTGCCAGGGCACCCTATGACTAAGTGGGGACAAGTTCCTGATGTGGCTGGACTCATGCCGGCTACACCACAGCCCCTCAGAGCCACAAGGTGCAGCCACGTCTACACTCCAGAGTGCTTCTGCCAACTCTCTCTTCTCCTCACAGCCAGGAGTGGCCGCCAGCGTGGACGGAGGGATGACCTCTGAGAATCTGTGTTTCCTTGTGTTGAAAATCCCTGCACTTTCAAAACTGGAAAAAGTCTTAGGACATTCCAGCCGGGATGGAGAGAGGAACAGGCAAACTCACGAGTCCCTGGCTGGAGCACAAATCCCGCAAGGTTTCTAGGCAGCCATTCTGCAGCACGGCCTGGACCTTTAGGAAGGTCTGTATCCTTTGACTCAGTAATCCCAAGTACTGAAATCGGAAATACTTCGAGATTAAGAAAATATTGATGAAAAGCAGATATTCAACAGTGCAAAATTTCCAGTTCTCCCCAAATTTAGCTATATAAATTCAGTGCAATTCCAATAAGCAAAATATTCCAACAGGACATTCAACGGAATTTGGCAGGACAAGAACATTTTGAAAAATGAGAACAAAGAGGGGAAACATCCCCTACCAGCTATCATATATCCTCTAGAGCTACAATAATTTCCAAAGTCTAGAAATGACACGTGAACAGACTAAGTGTGTCCACAAGCAGACACACACACATACACACAGATTAAAGAAAAACGCAGCAATTTAGGGAATGACGTAGGATCAGTATGGGACAACTGGTTCTCTCCATGTTGGAAAAATAAAGCTAGATATAGAACTTGATCTTTAAAATGTAAATGCATTACAAGGACACAGAGAAGCCTCTGTTCTTGGCTCTGGGGTGCGGAATATGCACACCACCAAGCATGGAAGGCGAAGGCGGCTTGGTGTGTGCAGTGGCCAGCAGCCGACCAATGCACTGCTCAAGAGGTCCGATACCACACTGCAATGTGTGTGAAGGAATCAGTGTGCAGCCGCAAGCCAACATTCCAGAGGAGGGGCTGCCAAGACGGGAGCTGGCCTCCGCAGCACAGCCTCCGAGCGTATTTGCATTCTGCGCATGGGTCAAGAGACCAGGAATCTGGAGTCTTCCCAGACAGAGAGCCGTTGCTGAGGGACGGAGGAAGCTGCAGAGCTTTTGGGCAAGAGAAAGAAACTTGAGAGGCCAAGATTCCAGAAGAGAGAGGTAAAGAACTAAAATGAACAAATGCCCCAAATGCCTAGTCCTTCCCTTAAGACATTTGCCAAATTCTGAAGGTAAGAGAGGTGGGATTTTAAAAACCCAAGCTGAAAACCAAAGAGGAGTCTTGCACAGTCTTAGATGCTAAGGAACAAAGATTTGAGTTCAGGGTCCTCCAGGAGGAGGATCCCCAGTGATCACACCAGGCTCTGGCTGAAAGCCCAGGGAGGCACAAAACCTAAGAGCAGGGCAGAGCCATAGCTCAGATGAGCCTTATGAAAACTACAACCTGCCCTCACTTGGCTTAATTCGGATTTCAGTCTGGCTGCCTGGGAGAGAAAATGGAAGCCATCTGGAGTCTCTACACTCTTTTATTTTTATTTTTTCAAACTCTGTACTCTATATTCTTTTAATAGGCAATGTGTGACATCCAATCAAAACTTAGAAGGTGTAAAATAAAAAAGGACTCTGATTAAAAACAAAGAGGAAAAATAAAATAGAAACACATGAGAGAAAAAAAAAGAGACACATACCTACACATGATCCAGATCTAGGCATTATTAAACAAGGACTTTATAACAACCCTGACTAATATATTCAAAATAAGAGCAAAAGGACAGAGAATATAAATGGAAAATGGATAATTTTGCCAGAAGACTGGAAACTATAACAAATAATCAAATGGAAATGCTAGATCTGGAAAACAAAATAACTAAAATTTGGAACTCAAGAGATTAGACACAGTTGAAGACAGTGCTAGTAAACTGGAGGATAGGTAATAGAAATATAGAAAATTTAAAACAGATAAGAAGAATGGAAAATATAGACATGAGAGCCAGAAAAGTATAGGACACACTGAAATGGTCAAACATCCTGTAACTGGAATCTAGAAGGAGAAGAAATGGAATGGGGGTGCTATGGTCTGAATGTTTGTGTCCCCTGTCCCATCCAAATTCCTGTGTTGAGATCCTAACCCCTAAAGTGATGGCATTAGGAAGTGGGGCCTTTAGAAGGTGATTAGGTCATGAGTGTGGAGCCTCACAAATGGGATCAGTGCCCTTGCGAAAGAAACGCCAGAGACACCCCTCAGCCCCTCCACCACATGAGAACAGGGCAAGAAGGCGTCTAGGAGCCAGAAAGCAGATCCTCAGCCAATGTGCCTTGCTCTTGAGCTTCCCAGCCTCCAGAACCATGAAAAATAAATTCTATTATTCATAAGCCACCTGGAAGCAATATTTACAAAACTTATGACCACGGATTGTCCAAAGCTGCTGAAGCACATCGACCCACAGGTTCAAGAAACTCTGCAAACACAAAGCAAGACAAACAACAAAGCCACACAAGGCACAGCACTGCAACAACGTTAGGACCAAAGATAAAGAGATAAAGCTTAAAGTCAGCCAGGAAAAAAAAAAAAAGGCCGGGCGTGGTGGCTCACGCTTAGAATCCCAGCACTTTGGGAGGCCAAGGCAGGCGAATCACAAGGTCAGGAGATTGAGACCACAGTGAAACCCCATCTCTACTAAAAATACAAAAAATTAGCCAGGCATGGTGCAGGCGCCTGTAGTCCCAGCTACTCAGAGAAGCTCAGGCAGGAGAATGGCGTGAACCTGGGAGGCAGAGCTTGCAGTGATCCGAGATTGTGCCACTGCACTCCAGCCTGGGTGACAGAGCGAGACTCCATCTCAAAAAAAAAAAAAAAGAAAAGAAAAGAAATTGACAACTGAATTCTCAACAGAAATGATAGAAACCAAAAGACAAGGTTGCAAAGTTTCAACATGACCATGAAAGAGGTCATAGTAATCATTTACATTCGATTGTCAAGCATACATGTTGTCATTGCTAAGTTAATCATTTAGAAAGTAGAAAACTAATGTATAACTAACAAGTTAATAGAAAAATACCCAAAAATTAAAATTTATTTTATGAATCCAATAGAAGGCAATGAAGGAGAAAAACAGAATATGAAAAGATAACATCAAGTGGAAAAGAAAGAGTTAAGATTGCAGATAAAAGGTCAACTCAGTATGAACTAAATACACCAAGTAAAACATTAAAAATTGTCAGACCAGATTATTTTAAAATTATATTCTGTTAATGAGAGACTCTACATACAAAGGCACAGAGAAGTTCAAATTAAAAGGATGAAAATTTGTGCTTGCTCTATCAGCCACTGAGGAGGAGAAAATATATATCGTACACATTATTTTGTTTATTTATTTTGAGACCAAGTCTCCTGTCTCCGAGACTAGAGTTCAGTGGCGTGATCTTAGCTCACCACAGCCTTGACATC